AAATTAATAAACAAAAAAAATCTGTCCAACCGTTCATTTTATTATCAATATAATATGTTAATTTAGACGATTTCAAGTGCTAGTAGTGAAAAAATAATATATATACCATGGTAGAGAAGTCTATTATTGCCTTCGCAAGCGCCTCGGGATGTAATCTTGGTGCATAGGCAATAATACTGGACCTACCTTGGTATATAATGTACTATTACTATATAGACATTGCTTTTGTTTGTGTTTATTCTGCCGAAAGGTATTTTATATTGTTCATATTCTGGTCTGGTAATGGTCAATGTTACAATTTTTTACTAAATGATTTTATTTGTAAGTAAACTTCAACATTTCAAATATGAAGACGCAAGCTAGTAATACATTATGCTGATTAATTATCCTATCATAATCTCTTCTAGCTATACAAATAGTTATGACCAAAAAAACGAAAAAATGTCATTTTCGATAAGATAATAAAGTTGATGTAATTTACTCGAAACCCACAAGTCATAAAAATTGTATTTTAGTATCACCAGAAAGCTGAGAAAAAATCACTAAGAGTTTGTTAAAAGTATTTTTTAATATTTTTGAAATAAATGATGCCCATCGCATTTTTGAAAATGACATTTTTCCGTTTTTTATCCATAAGTTTGCTATTTGTAGAGCCCTGTATAAAAGCCGCAAACTATTATGATTTTATGTTAAGCTTGAGTTGAAGTTTAACTGGTCGTTCAAGATGTTTCAAGGGTTTCGCGTTTAAATTGAATATTGCCTAGTTGCAAAAAGAATTCTAGATTTTATTATTGATTATTACATTATATTATTATTATTGATATCAATAAGTTCTGAATAAGATATCAGTGATATTTCACGTACTATTCGCACAAACAAACACGTGTAATTTTTAGCGCATTTTTGAAGAAAGGGGGTACGCTATTGCTTCTTTCTACGTCCGTCCGTCCGTTCAATGCCAATGCTTCAACTACACTCCTACTAACAGTTTTCAATGTATTTGGTCCGTTATTCCTGTATTTGGAAGCCTAAGTACTCTTATTCTAAATTTTAAAAAATACAAAATGTGGGTTCATATAATCATTAGGTACATTAATATTGATCCCTGTCTAAGTGTATTATGAAATAAAAGTTCAAGTGGTTAATCTAATATTATTTATGGACAAACATGATAAGAGGATAATAGGCTGGGAGGCAACGTACATAGTAAACAAGATATACATTATCTTGATAGTAACTAAACCCTAAGCGACAAAATATTCGACATACAATATACATGCTGAAAGTACGTTGAAAACTGCGTATAAGTTGTATAGTAAGTGATTCTTTTGGGGATCAACTAAATTACTAAACTATAAGGGCCACGGAAAAGATTTATATCAAGAAATCCCATTTCTCTCATAGATTTTCAAATATACTAGCACCTATAGCAGACGAGTTCAAGTTCAAGTATGCCAAAAAGTGACCGTACACGCTTTGATCGGGTGTGGCCTAGGGCAAAGTCAAGTTCCAGAAAACATTAAAAGGTACCGAAGCTTCCAAAGGAAATACCTATTTGCACATTTTGTTTATTTATACAAAATATTTATTTTGAACCGTATCAACAATTGTATTTTAGATATTTATTTACCTACCCTGTATAAGTATACATAACTAATTTCCTTATTTATTCTTAGATCATCAATAGGAAGTGAATACGCAAATTTGCAGTAGTGCGATGTTTGCATGTTGGCAATAAGTTACCAGTACCCGTGACCTACTTCCGCATTACTATATTACATTACAACAGGTATCCAAAAATTGTGCAAATGGTTCAGGTGCCTAAAAGCGACGATGTAAACTTAATTTCGGTGTACGTGCAGTGAATGAATGCGACTGTCGCTATCCAGTAGCGCACCATTTAAACATATTTTGGGGTTTCGGTCAGGATCTAATACGTGCTTATTCATAGATTACATTTTAATATGTAAGAATAATGATTATTCACTGCGTTCTGATTGTGGAGATGAGTACACAGTATGTTCCAGCAGAGCACAGCATTTGATTGATTTTGCTAATGAAATTACAATTGCCAAAACTCATGCCGCTTTGCAAGCTGATGACGTTCCGTAGTAACGAATTAACAGCAAATCAATATTAACGGACACTTCGGTATACAGATAAGAATGATCAGCATGGGGAAATGGGAAGCCATACACAGTCGGTTAAATTAGAAAAAAATAGTGCGAAAAAAGCGGGGTAGTAGGCGTGGACAAAAATCAAAATGTCAAAATAATCCATTGATGGCATTGAAATAAAAGACTAAGGGAGGAGGGTTACATACTTATAACGTACGCTTGTTGAGATCCAATTATAGGCTTCACAATATGGCCGACTTTGGCAATTAATTGACATTTACAGTAAAGCGAATCAATTTGTATTTTTGCCTCGAAGTTTACAATGCGCTTCTGCTGGATAGACGATACAATGAATAACAACTTGTGGACAATTTAAGGGTTACGAACCTATAGGCAAGAAGTCATAAAGAGTTGTAGTAATTCGTTGGTGCCTGCAGCATGAGCAGACGTAGGTACTGCGTAGCGTAGCCTGAAGAATTGCGCTAGTTTATCAATGTACGGAATGTTTTCTTCATTCTTCATAAACTAACTTACGTAATGTTCAATGCAATAGAAGGTATGAGGTACTAGCACCAAATTTCAACAAAATGTTCGATACTTCGTTCACCTCTCAAAAGTACGCTCAAGCAGGAATAATCGTAGGACCATTAGGGTGCGGAAAAACAAACATAATAGAAACGACATTACATTTGATGTTTTGAGAAGGGTAACTGCATTTTTGTAATTTCGTTATGAAATACTTAAATTTAGTTGGCGTTTTCGGTTTTAGAAGAGCCGTCATTTAGCCACAAGTGTCACGTTTTGACACATTGGCGCACTAATCTAAATTGGCGCACTGGTCATAGAACAACAAACTTAATGGAAACTCTAATGTAATGTAAAAATGACGCGCCAGCTCGTGTATGTTCTCAGCAGCTTTTGCGTGAATGGCGCCAAATTTAAATATTAAAATGCAAGCTACGTCCGCATTATACTGCATTTCTCCGGATCTGTAACAATAACATTGGATTTGACTAGCTGAAACCTAAAAGGTAAATGAATCCAGCCAGTGAAGTCCAATTTTGTTTGTTAGGGATCCAGATAAATTCAGTTTAATGCCGATGCACCTCAACAGTCAGGGGCTTCAAAGAGTACAGACCACTTGTTTTATAAGTAACAACTCCAATTAATCCAATCTAGGAATTATATTTAATTTAATATGGATATACAAGATACAAGATCAACTTCATGGAACTCTACTTTATGATGCGCTTAAGATCGTTCTAAAAACAAAATATGTAGCAATTTATTACAATTCAATTAGTGTTACCTGCTAAAGATAACGTGCAAACTGCCACACGCTTTAAACCTCTTCGTGTTCCAGGTTCTAAAGCGCAACCAGAAAAATGACGTTCACAAACCAAAAACTTTTGTGTAAATTTCTTCCACATTATATTCTAAACCAATTCTATAAAAACTTCGGGCTCCATTTTTGGGAAACGTCTTCACAATTTGTCACACAACATTTACGTTTTCGATTTGTAGATGCATAATTCATTGTAATAATGAATAGTAATTATACTTAAAGCACAATAAGCTGTCAATCAAAATTCAACTGTCATAATGGCGACACGTACTAAAGTCACTTTAGTAACTTTAACAAGCACGCTAACTATGCGCCATCTATTGAATGTTCTCCAAACTAATTATATTTGTGCTCAGTTGTTCCCGTTTACGTTTCCCTTCTAAGTTTTTTGTTCTGGGGCACTGGTAAGATTGGCGCACTGGAACATTAGCCCTATATTATGCTGAACGTGAATTCGGAGAAAGTAAACGAAGTATATCTGCAGCCGCTTCAACATCGGATGAAATACTCACATTTTCATCGGAATAATTCATTTTACTAGCACAAAGTTCCCAAACGCGATTGAAATATAAAAGACGCGAAACGAGGAAGCTTCAAACCAAGATGACAGGTACTGCGTATCCATAGCAACGCATTAGGTATATTGTGATAATACATGAGTATTCAATCTTAAAATGAAGTTCTCTTCCCATTATACCTTTTTTTTTCACATCAGTTTCTTGACGAAATTACAAAAAACATTGTATGCAACACGTTGCAAATTTTGTCTTTGGCGCACACGACGTGTTTGTCAAATACACGTCTAGTGCGCCAAATGCAGTCAATTTGCAACTTGTTACATAAATAGCTATTATGGCACTCCTGTCATTTAATGAAAGCATTTTACTATCAATTCCTTAATACAATATAATTACAATTACATACAGAGTGGCGCAATATAAATATATAATAGAAATGTGCGTGTCGTTGAAAATGATATTCGTAAAACGGCCAGACTCGACAATATTTCCTTCCACAGTAACTCTGTGGCTGTAATTCCTATATTTTTGAATAGCACTAGACGACAAGTAACACGTCATTGGAAAGGCCTTTCTTCCTGAATTCGAAACTGACATTTCTATACGTTTAATCGTTTGGAATCCGAAATAATCCATTTGAGCATTCAAATCCACTTTCGATTTACCATGATTATACAGGGTGGTGCCTAGCGCGACGCAGCATAGGTATTTCAATGGTAATTTCTTTATAGTCAATTACTAGCTCCCTGTCATGTATTGAGCATGGTAAACCTGGCTTGCGTGTGCGCAAGACGAGCAGCATGGACGAGGAAGACGGGAGGTTGTAAACGGTACTTTGTAATGTCGTGTTTGCATTTTATGCCGGTGTATTTTTCCAATGTATCCTTAACATGTACTGTATTGTATTTGTATGAATAAACGGGCAAACTAAACAGTGGCGACGAGAATAAAATTAACAAAATAGCAGAGTGTAAGCGTGCGTGTGTATCAGACGAGTGACGTATCGTGCCGATAACCGCGATGGCTTTCTTGGGGAATATAGAACAATTTAACACGGCGGCCCCGGAAACGTGGAATATTTACGTGCAAAGGGTGAAATTTTACCTCGAAGCGAACGGGGTCACGGACGCTGGAAAGAAACGCGCAGTTTTTTTAAGCGTGTGCGGCGAGCAAACATTCCAAATCGCGCGAAGTTTATGCATTCCAAATGAACTTGCCGATACGTCGTTCGATCGCTTAATCGATTTGTTATCGACGCATTTCAATCCGAAGCAATCTGAAATCGTTCAGCGTTTTTTATTTAATAAAAGAAACCAAAAGGAGGGTGAAACTGTTTCTGCGTGGGTCGCCGAACTCCGAAAAATTGGCGGGTTGTGCAATTACGGGGTGGAACTAGAAAGACAAATTCGGGATCGTATCGTGTGTGGTGCGCGCAACGAAGCCCTTCAACGTCGTTTACTATCAGAGCCGAATCTTACTTTCCAGATGGCATTCGACACAGCTACGGCAACCGAAAATGCAGCTAGCCAGGTGGTGGAGCTCCGTAAGGTGCCCGGACAGTCTGAAATAAATAAAACTGAGGTACACAAGGAGTCGACTCCAATGAAATGTTGGAGGTGCACAGCTAACCACGATCCAACTGCGTGTCGTTGGAAGGACGCGGACTGCAGATTCTGTTCGAAGAAGGGCCACATTGAGCGTGCGTGCCTGTCCAGAAGGAATCGTGGGAATGGTAATAAAGCGAACGAAGGGAAAAGGGTAAGTGCGGCACAGAATTCTTCTCGGGGTAGATCTAACGAAAGAGACCATAAAACCGGTCAGCACCAAGTGAAATCGGAACCGCCAACTAACAGTGACGATGGTGAGGACGATTATTATTATTTTGGTCTCCATAATGTCGGGCGCGGGGAGGCACCATACCGGGTTTTACTTTCGGTGAATGATAGACAATGCGAATTTGAAATTGATTCGGGTGCGAGCTTTACGGTTATGGCACAATCGTGTTTCGAAAGACTATTTGCGGGGGATACACCGCGATTAAATAACATTCAGTTATCGTTGAGAGACTGGCAGAAAAAGGACATTGCAATTCTGGGCGAATGTGAGGTGCGCGTATCGTTTAATAAACATTCGAAAACGTTACCTTTAGTCGTGACGAAGGGCGATAACATTAGTCTGTTGGGGCGAAATTGGTTTGAGGCTTTGGGAATTAAGCTGTCGATGAACGCGGTAGCTACGGTCGATACAAATATTGAGCGGGTGCTGCAACAATTTAGCGACGTGTTCGATAATAACCTTGGGAATTTTCGTGGGAAACCGGTCAAATTAGAAATTGATTCTACAGTGCGGCCAATTCGATTAAAGGCGCGTAATGTAGCTTTCGCGCTTCGACCCAAAATCGAAGCGGAAGTCGAAAAACTGATCAGACAGGGTATTCTGGAACCGTGCGAGAATCCTACATGGACTACTCCAATCGTACCGGTGGTGAAATCCGATGGGTCGATTCGTATCTGCGCAGACTATAAATGTACACTTAATAAGGCACTCCAGGATGACCCGTACCCAATGCCGACCACACAAGAAATAATTGCCGCTTTGAACGGGGCAAAGGTTTTCGCGAAATTGGATATGGCGCAAGCATATCAGCAGCTGAAGGTGGACGACGAATCAGCAAAGTTGCAGACGATAATCACCCAAAGGGGCACATATATGGTACGCAGGCTGTGTTTTGGAATTAAAGTGGCACCGCAAATATTCCAACGATTCATCAACGACCGTTTGGCTGGTATACCGGGATGTTTTCCGTACTACGATGATATATTGGTAGCAGCAGGAAACGACCAGGAGTTGCTAGAACGCATTACGGAAATTTTACGCCGGTTCTCAGAGGATGGGCTAAAACTAAAAAGAAGTAAATGTGTTTTTAGAACAAAGGGCATCGAATTTTTGGGGTTTTATATAAGTGAAGAGGGGGTGCGCCCAATCGCTGATAAAGTCCGCAACATCAAACATGCGCCAACACCGACGTGTAAAAGGGAATTGCAATCATTTCTTGGATTGCTAAATTTTTACCACGCCTTTTTAAAGAATAAAGCGAATTTTGCTGAGAGTCTCCATCGTCTGTTGGACAACAAAGTTCCGTGGAATTGGACTACAGAAAACCAAAGAACCTTTGAAGCCGTCAAAGAGTTGCTTTCTTCTGACCAACTGTTAGTACACTACGACGCCAGGAAAGAGTTGGTACTCACATGTGACGCGTCTCCTTGGGCCGTGGGGGTGGTGCTGAGCCATGTAGATAGTGATGGCAGAGAAGCACCCATTGCGTTCCATTCAAAAACTCTTAGCCAAGCAGAGCGCCGGTACAGTCAATTGGACAAGGAAGCGTTAGCGATAGTGGTGGGTGTTAAGAAATTCCATAATTACTGTTATGGGCGACATTTCGAAATTGTAACGGACCACAAACCGCTCTTAGGAATTTTAGGAGAAAATAAACCAGTACCGCAGATGTCTTCGCCGAGACTAGTTCGCTGGGCATTATTCCTGAGTAATTATGACTACAAGCTGATACATAAGCCAGGGAAGGACATCAGCCATGCGGATGCTCTGAGTCGCTTGCCAGCGGACGCGGCAGAAACTGAGTACGCGAGTTACGAACGCATGGGCGAGGTATTCATGCTGGAAAATATGCCAGAGACACCACTGAACGCCGAGAGGGTGGCAGAGTTGACAGGACGAGACCCGGTTATGAGCCGAATTCGAGACTTTATACAAAATGGTTGGCCCCATAACTTGGAGGATGGGCTGGAGGAAGAGCAGGTACGACCGTTCAAGGCTAGGAGAGACGAATTGTCCACCTACAAAAACTGCATACTATGGGGTACCCGAGTGGTAATTCCACCAAAAATCCGAGAGAGAGTTCTGGGAATCCTCCATGGTGCTCACATCGGGATGGTAAGAATGAAGTCATTGGCCAGGTCGTACGTGTGGTGGCCATCCATGGACCAAGCTATTGAAAACGCAGTCCGGCACTGTGAAGAGTGCCAACAACAGCAAAAGTTGCCGGCCCGAGCGTCAATACATCCGTGGGAGTGGAGCGAAGTTCCCTGGAGCCGAGTCCATATAGATCACGCAGGACCATTCTGTGGTCAACAATTTCTAATTATTGTTGATGCTTTCAGCAAATGGTTGGAAGTCAGGAGAGTACCATCTACAGCATCGGAACACACTATCCAATGTCTACGGGAAATTTTCGCAACCCATGGGATTCCGGAAGTTATAATAAGTGACAATGGCACGTCATTTACATCGGAGGCATTTCAACTATGGACTAGGAGAAATGGCATCCGTCATACTCGAATCGCACCATATCACCCGGCATCAAACGGTCAGGCGGAAAGGATGGTGCAAGAAACCAAAAAAACATTAAAGAAGCTGAGCACGGGGAACTGGGAAACCAAAATTGCAAGATTTTTAATAACACAACACATTACGCCTACTTCGACCACAGGACTTTCTCCGGCGGAGTTAATGTTTAAAAGGAAAATTCGTACGTGTTTGGACCTCCTACAACCGAGTGTCGTGAGGAAAGTTAGAGAAAATCAACAAAAAATGATGTGGGCCGGGCCCAGAACAACCAGAACATTTGACCAATCAGCTACAGTCTTAGCTAGGAAGTTTGGAGGAAGTGACGAGCCCCGATGGCAGCAAGAGCAGATTGTCCGACAGTTAGGACCCGTGACGTACGAAACTATTGATGAGAGGGGTAGAACCCAAAAGCGTCACGTGGACCATTTGCGGAGAAGTTCACCAGAGACCACTGAAGAAAGCGATAACAACGACAGCCTACTTCAGGAGGAGAGATCACAGGAGCAGATGACCAGGGATCGACCAGAGGACCTAGCAGTCACGGAACAACTGCCTACTATAAATCAGAGGCCGCAGAGGAATGCCAGATTACCGGAGAAATTTCGAGATTTCGTGATGACTTCTAGGAAGGGAGGGATGTCATGTATTGAGCATGGTAAACCTGGCTTGCGTGTGCGCAAGACGAGCAGCATGGACGAGGAAGACGGGAGGTTGTAAACGGTACTTTGTAATGTCGTGTTTGCATTTTATGCCGGTGTATTTTTCCAATGTATCCTTAACATGTACTGTATTGTATTTGTATGAATAAACGGGCAAACTAAACACTCCCCCCTAATTATTTTAGAGCAAAAGTCTAAATACGTTTTTTTTAGAGAAAAAAATACTGCATCTGTTCATACTATTACTTATAATTTTCCGTTTTTCAAAACCGTAGAAATCGACAAAATAAAAAGGTTCATTTTACAATTAATCAGATATGCCTTGTAATTACCTAAAAAAACAGCGATCACGTTTCATTACTTGCCTTTGGCGATTATGAAATTTACACTTGTTTATAAATTAGTTAATCATAAAACTGTTTATCATGTAGGTATTTTAACTGAAGAGAAAGTGGAAATGTTAAAGTTGTTTTATGCCCGCCAAGTAACGTCTTTATTAAGTGTGAAGCACCCCAATCGGCCGAATCCAAGCAGCACCACAATAGACAGAATGGTGCGCAAGTTTGAAAGAACAGGCACGTGCAATAACGTTCAAAACGTCCGTCAAACCCATCAGGAAAACGACAATACATATTCAACGTGTTGGCTGCAGTAACGGAAAATCCGAATATAAGTTTAGGAACAAATCTTCCTGAAATCAATTTCTTCTTCTTCGATTATTACTCTGGTTCCGGAAAATGATAAACAAATAGTACCTATCTGATGCAGATGCAGCATTACATTCTCTAAAGAAAATTACCCCATAAACGTTTTTTCTTGCGTTGGTTAGTTGAAACAGAATTAAATATGAAAATCATTCGACGTCAAACAACGATAACTTAGATGCGATGCGCTTTGTATTTTGTTAAAAGATTCCAAAGCATCACTGATTTTTATAAAATATAATTTTTTATTTTGTATATTTCTACGGTTTTGAAAAACGGAAAATTATAAGTAATAGTATGAACAGATGCAGTATTTTTTTCTCTAAAAGAAACGTATTTAGACTTTTGCTCTAAAATAATTAGGGGAGCTAGTAATTGACTATAAAGAAATTACCATTGAAATCCCTATGCTGCGTCGCGTTAGGCACCACCCGGTATATGTTCAGATGGCCATTATGTCGGAATAAAAATCTAAAGTCATGCAGAAAAATTCTTTCATGTCTGAACTGTATCAAAGTGACCGTGTTGCCGCCGTCGACCTGCCGCCTTTGTTTCGCTACTGTCATCTCGCCACCGTAGACTGTCAACATTCAAAAGGTACGATCTCATTTTACGAAAACGTCCTACTCTCTTAATAATAATAACGATAATGATAATGGATAATGATAGTTGGAGTGCTGGTGATGGTGAAGTTGACGCTTAGGACAATGTTAAAAGAGAGCTTAAGAGTAGGAAAAACGACTTACATGGCATTCGTAGATTTAAAAAAGGCATTCTATAGGGGGTTAATTGGGAGACTTTATTTAGAATAATGAAGGAGGCAGGGATAGTATATAAAGAGGTTACAGCCTACACAAGGAAAAAAGAGCGGTGATTAACGCAGAAGGTGAAGAGGCGGAGGTCAAGGTGCAAAGGAATAGACTAGACGGGCTGTGTTCCGTTGTGCAAATTTTCTCTTTTCAAACGTGCTTCTCAAAATCTTCTTCAGCAGTACGGCGTAGACTGGTTGTCTCAATATTTGACTCTCGACGTGATTTCATTCTTCTACGTATCGCGACGAAGAGTATTTCCTTGATAACGCACAGTTCGAATTTGCAAGTCAATTGGCGCAAATTCGGTGTCCGAGGCTGCCCGTACAATCATTTAACTTTCTCGTTTCTCACCCGAAATCACATATTTATATCCCTTCTCTTAGTATCTACTGTATTTAAGTTCCGTGTATCTCACTACGATCAAGCGTTTATAAGTTTGGCGTAGCTCTTTAAATGGCTTTTGTCAACTCGACTTTGATACTTGCGGTTATTTTATTCCAATGATTCACACATTTCGAATATACATCCGTAAATCGATATTTATGATCCTATTCTATTTACATAAACACGTATATTCGCTTTCGCTCTTGCGATTACATTCATACCTAAATATAGCTTACTCATTCTTTTAAATTTATGTATAGGGAAACCCCGTGACAGGGGAATATCCAGGGCTGCGCTTTGTAGTCGACAATATTTAACCTTTACACAGAAAAAGCTGATGTAAATAGGAATTTAACTTAACGGATGCGGACAATAGGCAGGGAAGACAGAAGCATTCGAAATGTGGTACTATACAAGGGTAATGAGGACTAACTAGATGGATAGGGTAACACCCCAACCAGTATTAGAGCTAGTACAGGAAGAAATCTGGAAAACCGCACAGAGAAGACGAGATAGGGTGCGTGCTCAGACACGGAGGATTAGTACAGCTAGCTATAGAAGGTAGGTATGAGGACGAAACAGGTGTAGGACTCCAGAGGGGTGTGCCTACTTCCACGATAATAAACCAATCCATCATGAGGTGAATAAAATGCCGTATAGCATCGAAATCTGGATATATTTCTTGGAACACTTCTACCCAGTTACGAATTGGGCAAACCCAATCTATATATATCTTCACCTTTATTTTGGGTATGAAAATACTACTGCAAGAGCATTTTGTCCTCTTCTGGGATATTATGAATTTTAGAGAATATTACGGCCTGCAACAGCAAAAAATCAACTGATACGTAGTTATTCGATGAAAATTCTATCAGTCATGATAAAAACTAATTTTTCTAGTAAAAGAAGAAGACAATAATCGTACAGAGGTAAATAATGTTTATGGTATCAAATGGCGCGCGTGGCATCCATCGATATAGACGTAACTATTGTACGCAAACTTACGCGGTAAAATCGATTAATGATGGATTATTACATAAGTTAATTAAAATGTTGTGCATCAGTGCAGTGCAAGATGAAGGTAGTCGCAGTACCTTTGCATGTATGTACCTACCTAGAAACAAAAAGTAAAAAAACAAGGGTACTGTGCACCTGTCAATGCTTTTAATCACGATACACTTACACACGGTATGCTCATTATTTTTCTCAAACGCGTTTTCTACTGCGCATTACGTCACCTGCGAACGTGTGGCGCCAAAATTCAAATGTTTACGCACGGAAAAATCCAGTACAGATGTCACGCGTGACAGTTTGCACCTTTTCAGTTGTATTTACGAGTTTTATAGCGTTAATTTGTTGATAGCTAAGTAATCATTAGTGAAAATTCCAAAATGCCAGGTTGTGTGTGGAAATAAAATAGGTACTTTCGATTTCCGAAAATTGAAGACTTTTCTCTAAAATGGATTGTTGCAAGTCGTCGTAAGGACAAAATTACCTTGAAAAATGGTGTTGCATTATTATTAAGTGGTGTGTTTAAGTCTTTCCATTGCTGTTTAATCCTATATCCTGTATTTGTTATGAACATTTTGAAGCCAGCCGTTTTGAAGCACCGCAAGGGAACGACTCCTTAATTAGACCTACTTTTAAAAACAGCGGATGTTTGAAACCTGATGCTTTACCTATTTTAAAACTACCGCGTAATAATGAAAATCAAAATAAAAGGGACACGGAGGAGCGATTAGATCTTTTGATAATGCATTAATTATATAATTTTTACTGAAACAGCCGCATTTCATGTTTAGGGCCAATGTTTTTGGTTAGAGTTTATTTCATACGATCACGAAATCCCAGAAATAACTTACGCGAGGATCTCTACACAAATCAGTATGATTTGTCAACTAACCTTGTGATTTGTCGATCTAAGCATCGTAATTTTGCTCTTATATTCTGTGGTTTTGTTCGCACGTGACGTCACGCTAGATGCGCAAGAGCATACCGTTGTAAGTGTATCGTGCTTTTAATATATTAGAAGCAAATAAATAAAAACGTGCCTAAGCCTAACGGTATTCCGATTGGAATACGATAAGAAGAGGAAAGTTACTCACTTTAATACCACTCGCCAGCAGAAGGTAAAACCGCAAGCGTCCGCCTTTTTTTAGTTCCCCATGATAAGCCTCTATGAGTTTCTCTTTGCTCATGCATATTCGACAAAAATACTGCATTGTGTTTCACTTAATCGGCAGGATATCAACAAATCAAACATTTACTTTCTGAAACTAAACAAATGTGATTTTCTAGTTATTATCTGTTGCAAGGCAACATCAGAAATGCTTGGAGGGAGTAACACGCCATCGCACGCATGATTGGAGGGGATCAAGGTTGTTTTATTAGAAAGGTTGTCTGGTAACTCTAAACCAATAGAATGCTTGCATTTTGAAGGCGGGAAAACGTCGTCCAGAATACACATTTAAAATTGCTCATAGGTTACAATGCTAATAAAAGGGGTACAAAATTTAGTGTTTGCAGTATATTTTTGGATTTGTATGGGTATATGTATATAAGGGTGGATCTTATATTGCAAATCTTGGAAGTTTATCGACTTCCACCTTTGAAAGCAATCAAAGTATTGAAAAAATGAGTGTGGTGCATAAGCTATTTTACATTGCACGAGTACTTGTGAAAATGTAATCAAATTAATTTTAGAGGTGGAAATGGATAAAATTCCGCGATCTACAAAATAGGAACCACCCCTATGCATTAATATTATTATAGGCTTTGGGAATTAAAACTCTAAACATTCTTTAGCGGATGACGCCAAATAAAATGCTGTTGCGTTTTATGGAATATGTATATTTATAGTGTGTACAAAATGGTAACCGAGGTGCACACGGCGAGCTCTGTCGTTGGGGTGAGCCCAAATGCAGGTCTTCTGACTGATGGAGTGTGGCGCGAGGTCGAGTTGGAAAGGCGACCTGGTTCTGCAGGTGGAGAGCTTTTTGTTTCTTGAAGTGCAGTCGAAGCAGGAATTGAGTTGCACTTTGCAGAGTTCGCGGCTCTGATTTTAAACGTTTGCGGCCAGGGACGCTACGCTTTCATCGGTTGGCCGTTTTGACCAATGAGGGCGCAGCACGTTTTAGTTTGCTGCCGGATGTGTAAACATTTTCTTACCCATTCTTTAAGAACGCTGGGTCTTTGGGAAACGTAAAAACCGAGATTTTATTTACACCAGGATGAGGAATTTTAGTGTTACCGCCACTCATCTAAAAAAATACTTAATTATAACATACAAAAGTGCATATAATTCATGAACTAACCTTTCAATCACGGCTATGAAAACCCACAAAATTCACAATCTAGATGTCTTTATATTGCACCAAACAGGTATCTACAGCTAATATATGTCCTTATGCACTTCAACATTCAACAAATTTTAAACAAATAAACTATAACTTAAGAAAAATAAGCACCCGCGCGACTACAAACAACGTTGAACCATGTTGAACGTCAATGTCTGAATTCTCGATGACGTATACATTCCGTCCCTCCCGCTTCCGCCCACATACTTACCAGGTAACCTTTGAAATAAAATAACCTTGGGAGGGGATAACTATAAATAGCAAGTGAGCAAGGTCACATAGATGGTTCTGGACTCTGATAAAAGCTGCCATTTGCGTTGGCAATTTACTGTTTATTTATACCGGGTGGTGCCTAGCGCGACGCAGCATAGAGGGATTTCAATGGTAATTTCTTTATAGTCAATTACTAGCTCCCCTAATTATTTTAGAGCAAAAGTCTAAATAAGTTTTTTTTAGAGAAAAAAAAACTGAATCTGTTCATGCTATTACTCATAATTTTCCGTTTTCAAAACCGTAGAAATCGACAAAATATGCCTTGGAATTACCTAAAAAAACAGCGATCACGTTTCATTATTTGCCTTTGGCGTATATTAAATTTATACTTGTTTATAAATTAGTTAAAGAACTGCAAGTGCAATAACGTTCATAATGTCCGTCAAAACCATCAAGAAAACGACAATACATTCAACGCTTTGGCTGCAGTAGCGGAAAATCTGAATATAAGTTTGAGAACAAATCTGCTTCAAATCAGTTTTTTTTCTTCGATTATGTAGGTACTCTGATTCTCTCTGATAAACAAATAGTATCTGATGCAGATGCAGCATACATTCTCTAAAAAAAACATTACCCAATTGCCGCTTTTTCTTGCATCGGATAGTTGTAACAGAATTAAATATGAAAATCGTTAGACGTCAAACAACCATAATTTAGATGCGATGCGCTTGTAGTTTGTTAAAAGATTCCAAAGCATCACTGATTTATAAAAATGTCATTTTTTATTTTGTCGATTTCTACGGTTTTGAAAAATGGAAAATTATAACTAAAAGTATGAACAGATGCAGTATTTTTTTCTCTAAAAAAAACTTGTTTAGACTTTTGCTCTAAAATAATTAGGGGAGCTAATAATTGACTATAAAGAAATTACCATTGAAATCCCTATGCTGCGTTGCGCCTCGAAATGTAATCTTGGTGCTCGGGCAATAATACTGTACTTCTCTACCGTGGTATATATACTATTTTTTTCACTACTAGCACTTGAAGTCCTCTAAATTAACATATTATATTGATAAGAAAGTGAACGGTTGGACAGAATTTTTTGTTTCTTAATTTAACATGTCGATCAAGTACGTAGAAGTACAAGTCAAACAGGCCGTATTTTATTCTGTCATTGAGTAATTTCGTTCGAATTTTTTCAAAATGTGATAAGTGATAATTTTAGGTATGTAATTTCTCTGGAAATGGCGATGGTGGCAATTATTCATTTTAGAGAACTTGTCCAAACGTTTATTGAGCGAAATTTCGGGTTGTGTTTTCTAAAAGTGACAGCGCGACAGTTCTCATTATTGACTACTAGTCCACATTATTAACCAGTTTAAACAAATGCCGAGAAAGCCTACTTTACAAGTGGAAGAAAGGTTAATAATCATGTCATCAGACGCTAGCAGTGAAAAAAATTAAATATAATAGCAATAAAAAACTAGCAACAAAAAGTAACAATTTTTTGACTCTTGCCAAATTACAGATCAAGAGAACTGTATACAAAATAGGGCAAGAAACGGACAGGGCCTTACAGTAGCATAAATGTATAGATGCAATAATAAATACATAAAACAGCCTAGGATGAAAATCTGGAATTATCTCCAGCACTTGATGTCGACCGTTTTGATTGGAAAAGACAACGACAAAAGAGTTGTGTGGTGTGGATACCAAAGAAGTAAATGGGCATTGATTGATTGCATTTTAACATTGGAAATGCTTGTTTTGTAGGGGTATGAATTTAGGTTTGCCGAGTAGAAAAAGACAAGTGGTGTCGCGTCTAGTGTTGATTGTACCGTACTCGACTGCAATCGGTAGATTCAGGAAAAGTCGCGGATACTGTCGATACGGTACTTAGTTAACAGTACGCAAGGGTTTAAAATTCTCGCACATCGCCCGTGATAGTATTACAAGCATGTTACGCCGCTTATTATTCAGAAAGTTTACGTTTGCGACACGAGCGAGTGGAGCAAGAATATTCCGTGTGAATGGGTTATTTATGGCTTTATAGGTTATACGGTTATCATTTCCAATGTCTCCGATGGTTGCAAGGATTGAGAAATCTGTTAATTTTTTTATCTTGATTATTTCTTTCATCTATTAAGGGTACGGTCCAAAATTTACTCCAGTTACTGTTTTTACTGAAAGTAATTTTGTGGCGGTTATAAAATTGCTGACATTTACTGCGAATGCTTCTTTAAAATCTTGCAACAATCAATACGCATGCGTGAGATTTACTGAAAAATACTCATGTTGCTTCTACCAATGTGGTGGTAAAAGCTGAGTAAACTGAGTAAAGGTTGTAGTAAACATAAATTCATAACCCGATTTTTGTCTTGGTCATAGAAAATGGAGTTATGGTTCCAATTGATAGCGAAAATAATGCACAGCAGAAAATAACACTACATCCCGAAGATTACGAATGAGCTATAAATGGTACCTAAGTTTATTAAAGGTAACTTGTCTGGTAGTCTAGTCACTATTGTGTTACAGATATTACCTTTGCAACAACATTGCTATTATACAAAATGCCAGGACCACACAAGCCACTCAAGTACTCAGTGGTAGAGCATTGGGTTATAAATTCGGAGGTCGGGTGTTCGAACCTGGGTTGAGGTGAATTTTTCATCTGTGGCGGAGATGGAAATTACCTTAGACCAGTTCCGAGCATTCTACCGGCTACTCCGAATTAGGTTTTCCTGCAGTTTTCCTAATTCGTAAGGTAAATACCGGAGTAGTATAGACCAACTTAAGACCTTCTGCAGAGGCACCTCTAAATAGCAATATGCGGGTCACTCTGTAATTGGGCGCATGCCTGTTGAGGGCCCAAAAACAAGAGAGGGATAATAAATAAAAAAATAAATAAATAAGAAATAGAAGAAAACTCGGAGAAAGTGTCGGAAAGCAGAGTCTCAGGATGGTAATTACAAACATTTGTGATGTATTTATAAGGAACATAATTAATTTTAGACAACACACATCGTTGGCCGCATGAAGGTATTGTACTACTACTACACAATTATGGCGAAACCAGCAATATCTTCTAAAAGGTAAAATGAAGCAAAATGCTTTTTGGGGAAAGATTGCTGCTTTAATGGCCAAAGAGGGATTTGCAGTTACTGGAACGCAATGTCGCACCAAACTGGCCACTTTAATGCGACAATATAAAAAAATCAAAGATCATAATAAACGCTCCGGCAATAACAGGGCAGATTGGCCCTATTTAGAAGTAATTGAATCAAAATCTGTAATGAATTTAACGTAATTACTGGTTTAGATAATGGATGATTTGTTTGGAAGTAAGCCATGGGTAGAGCCTTTGTCAACGGGTTCAAGTTCTTCAGCCTCCGATCCCAAAAGTGAAGTGAAAAATATATATCTAAAAAGTATATTATACATTTTCTTGAATAGGAAGTTCCTCGGCAATTAGGTCTCGCTTTCTTCGTGCTATATCTCGAAGGTTCCTGTCTACGAGTATATCTACGTGTATAGCTTCATTTATATGAGGAAGTGGTTCTGCGTTGATAGCAATTGCCAATGGCTGGAAATGATCGTGCCTTAACAGGCAGAGGCAAATATTGTGTATTACGCAGCAGGCAATAATGTATTTCGGTATAAGATCGGTCCTAGTCATTGGTAAGTTATCTAACAATCTTCTCAGTCGACCTTTTAACAATCCAATAGCCTTTTCAATTGCCATTCTTGTTGATGAGTGCGATTTATTATAATTTATTTGACGAATCGTTAGGTGGCTATTGTCCTTGTATGGAACCATCAAATGTTTATGTAAGGTATAAGCTGCGTCACCTAACAAATGGTAGTTGTTGGGAAACTTTTCCGGATCATTCAAAAATTGAAACACTTCGGATCTCATGAAGTGAACTACATGGACTGATCCAAGATGTCCTGTATAGCAGTGTATAAATTTTCCCGTGTGATCACACACAACCTGCAAAAAGATGAATAGGTAGGTACTTACAGAAATGTAAAATTTATAAAACCTGTAACTGCATTGAATGCACTCCTTTTCTATTGACATACGCTTCGGGATGTTCCTTAGGAGCAGTAATAGACACATGAGTGCCGTCAATGGCACCATTTATACATTTGGAAAGCTGGACACACCTTCAAAAGCCCTACTACTTTGTAGCATTTCTGCATTTCTTGGCCATTTAATAAATACATTGGCTCTGCTCTGTCATATAATACTGTAACAACTTTTCTTACAGCCCATTATTGCTGTGGCCTTCCCAACGCCAAACCGATCACAGACGGACCCACATATGTCAAAATGGATTATCTACTTCTATAAGACTAAAGTATACTTGCCTATATGAGTCAGGTGTGCCAACTGCCAAGGACCCACAGGGCAATCAGCAACCGTTTTTCGTCTGATATATTTGGCCGTCCTATAGAGAAATTTCATTTTTACTAATTTCTAAACCAATTATATTTAATATGAATTCAAAAGTTCTTCTTTGCATTCTAAAACACATCACATCAAAATGGTTGTGTTTAATAAGCATAGGATTTTATAAGTTTTATTTCCGGAGTGCTAATGATAACTTACCTAAAATGCGATTGAAACTGTGAATCCGAATATACATGCAACTACATTTTCTAAATAATGCTGCATTCTGACTAAGGGAACTTTCCTTCTTCTACGCAAATTTGTTACTGCAATAAACTCTTCACCATTGGAGCTACTGTTTTCTAATATATTTTAGATAACGTTATGCAGAACAATAAATTCATTAATGTCCCCCATTTCGGAATAACAGTAAACAAAATGATAAAGTAAATCTCACACCTCAATCGTATAACATGGGCTGTTATAACGTAAAGTAAACAAACAAATGCGAGATTAGAATTTGCTCATGATCCTGACGTTGATATAAAGATCGGTTAAAAATAAAATTTTACTGTAAGCATTTGTAGTAAAATATAATTTTAAACAGAGTTACCTACTTCAATTGCAATGCACCGAATTCACGTAAATCGTAGAGTAAATTTTGGACCGTACCCTAAATGTCAATTATCAACCAATCATTCCTGTTTGACGAAACCAATCAACACGATCCATTAGCGACTATTTTGCATGGTGCACGATAGCCGACTATCAGCATGACAGATTGTGCATCTGACAGCACTTAACTTAAACGTCAAAATCGTGTTGTTGAAGTTTTTAAAATGAATCGTATTGGAGAAACCACAAGCGAAGAAATGATGGAGTGGTCCAGTCTACAATCCCGCATAATACAGTGAGGAGTAAAAAATAGCGTATGGAGGCAGTTTACCAAATTTTGAGAGCATCGTCAATGTGAACTAAATGCATCGACACCATTCACAAAACTAAATGATATTTTGGTCTGGAACATGAAAAAAGAAGATGGTGAAGTTTATAAAGAATATAGTGTAAAGTGTATGTGGAATTCAATTCATTTAATTGATACTTATGTTTGTATTTTGTACATTGTTGATATTTTGAATAAATCATATCAAATTGTTTCATTTTTTGAATATGCCTCTCTGATATAAATAATTGGATTCAAGAAATAATCTTCTTAAATATAACACGACCTTGATTAATAAGCGACTATTTTGATTGCTGCTAAATTGCTCTTGTATTAATAATTTGACTCGACATAATTTTGGCGTTACCAAGGGGGAAATTGTAAGGCACTAAAAATGTCTAAGAACGTTAGAAGGGCGTCATGCTTTATTTCCATATATAAAATAAACCCTCTTTGTTTTGGAATACATATTATGTATACCCTTGGCCACATTAATAAAATCCAATCACACGAAAGCTGTAGTCGAATAAAGATCGTCTTTACTTTACGTCTATGTTTTATTGCAACTACCTCAATCAAAATAGCCGACTATTTATCAAGGTCTTGTTATATTACCCTTGATAATATCACTGACCCAGGTTGCAAAAGTCGTAAAATCCTCACAAAAGTATTACCATTGTATTTATAATAATATAATACAATGGTATTACTGTGTTGGTAGAACGATGTTGTAACTTGTAATGTAAGCAGTTTCTTGTAATTACCAAGTAGGTGGTATGTAATGTAAAGTAGACATTACTCAACGATAAACATTTTTTAACAAAATGCACAACTGCACATTCTTAATTATTACAGTAACCCAGTGTTCCATTTAAAGCGTTTCTTTGAAAGCTTATATAAAATACAAAGTAGATCAGATGTCGCAAGCGAGCGCGGATAAATTTTAATCAAAACGCAGTTCCCAAATAGTTTTTATTTGTAAAGGTCCAAATAATAGATTACGGTCGAAGGACTCTCAGGCGAAATCAGGAGGTAGCGAATAAAGAATTAAGAGCTACAACTTCGACTAATGGAACTTGAAATACGTCACCCTTAATATATTATTTTAATTAGGTATACATACATACTAACAAGCCATCGTATAACATAAACATGAACTATAAATAGATTATTTCCCTTGCGGCTCTTGTAGGTAAGGGAATAAAAAGATAAAACGAAGCTGAAAACTGTAATTTTACATATAAATTAATTTAAATATAAAATGCTCTAATAATACCGTTAAGAGAAGGATTAGTACCTAATTACTCAATGGTAATACCACAATACTCACGGGCTAAATGCAAAAAAATTACAATATTGTGGAAAATTGTTGTATACCGTTCCCTTTTGTAGAGTGACCGGGCGGTCGGATCTCTCTGGCCGCACACAAAGAAATTTCACAGAATCCTACATATTGTCGGCTTATTTTTCTCAATGCGCTAAAAATCACATCTGGAAACGATCCAGATCTTACATCGTATTAGCACACGGTACCCAGCGGTATCCACTTTCTACACAAAGAGAAACAATAAATTTCATAAAGCGGAACTTTGTAACTGATCTTTTCTAATGTTTTTGGACCTTTCTTAGAAAATATTCTCAACGCATCATAAACTGAATTTCCGAGAAAATGTATTTTAGTTAATCCTTTCCCGTCCATCAAGCTTTACCCAGATTTACGTTTCCTAAGAATTTTTTTGCATTCAACAAAGACCCTGTCTTCCTTCCCAGAATCTTTTAATTTGATTGTCAATATTCCGACTAACCCCTTTTTACCACACACCCACACACAACTAACCACTTAGAGATAGAATTTTTGTACAGTACATGACGTTAAGATCCTTGCTGAAGCAGTCGACGCGAAATTAAACTTAAAAGTTACATATTTTGTTTTATTTTAATTAAGAGAAAATGGAACTAGAGGAATAGTGAATTCCTAGTTCGAGGGTGAATTTACATCTCGCCCGGAACAATTCTATTATCAACAAAAATAAAACGAAAATGCGCTAATGTGACCACTTTGTCCGACGTCTCTCCGTCCGTATACAGCCGTTCGATCGAGCTCCATCAAGTTAGCCCCCGCAATTAAAAAAAAATGTGTAATGACCATTTTTATATAGTACTAGGGTTGTGCTAAATTGTGCTGATTCGATTTTAATTTGTGCTGATCTGGAAAATCAATTTTTTTTAATTGAAACGCGGGGGCCAATTTGACGCCCAGCCCCCCGGTTTTTTTAACGTACAAATTCCATTACTACTTTAACGAGTTGTGCTCGATGCATATTGGATTGTGCCGGTCGAATATTCGAAAATAGTCTTCCGGTTCAGGGTAGTTCCTGCACTCAAATCTCGGGGGCCAACTTGACTCCCAGCCCCCACGTTTTTTACAAATATGGAAATCTAAATAAGGTCAATCAATTGTGCTCACTGCATATTGGATTGTGCCGTTCAAATATTCGACAATAGTTTTACGGTACACGATAGTTCCTGCGTTTAAATCTCGGGGGCCAATTTGACTCTCAACCCCCCGGTTTTTTTAACGTGCAAATTCCAATACTACTTTAACGAGTTGTGCTCGATGCATATTGGATTGTGCCGGTCAAATATTTGAAAATAGTCTTCCGCTACATGGTAGTTCCTGCACTCAAATCTCGGGGGCCAACTTGACTCCTAGCCCCCACGTTTTTTACAGATATGGAATAAGCAATAATGGCAATCATTTGTGCTCGATGCTTACTGAATTGTGCCGTTCAAACTTTTGAAAATAGTCTTACGGTACCCCACAGCTCCTGCACACAAATGTTGGTGGTCATCTTGACTCTCAGCCTCCCCGTTGTGTATTCACGAACTGTGCGCTCTAGAGGTACCCGTAGATTCTCCTCTACGTCTACGGCCACGAACGAAATAAAATGAATGTATGTTTGATGATATCAAATTCTCGTGGCCCATTCTTGATTCTGGATTACGATAGGAAGGTAGACAGGGTCCACGCGTACCTACGCCTCAAATTCGAGCCCTTTGTACTACCTATCTGACTAGAGTCGTTTGATCCCTCAACGTCACTCAAGCCATCCCACACGTGAGATGAACCTAAGGATGCTGGAAGGAGAGGCGGCTCTAATCATCGTAGCCATGTCCGGTCAGGACACCCTTAACATGGATCGTCTGAGTTGGACTAGAGCGAGGCATTCAACAAAGTATGTGGTGTGCCGTTTCATCGTCCGTGTAACTTCCTCTACAAGATAGTGATTCTATCAAACCCATGCGAACCCATGCGGTGCATGTGTTTGTTTTGTTTGCAGTGCCCAGAAAGTATTCCCACGAGTAACCTCAAGTTCTTTCTTGATAGCCCTGTGCAAAAGCGCACCAGGTTACGAGATGGTCCTTTGAAGGCTTCTCTCGCATCGCGACAATCTAACATCATGTTCCATCTAACCCTGCGCTGGGTTTAGGTGTCCTGAGTTATTAAGTTGTTTACAATTTCAGCTGTAAGTGGAAGAGCCGGCTCCGGACCATAAAACACCTGTTTTGAGGTCAGTCGAGCTCACCCATTGGCTTGCTCATTCCCTTCCACTCCAGCATGCCCTTTGACCCATGCGAGCTGCTTGCTACTTGCTCTAGTGCATGGTGACATTCGGAAACCAACATAGAGGTAATTTTACAGCGACCAAGTGCCTGCAGGGCAGCCCTGGTGGCACAAGAGATTCTGATAGTTTTGTGCATAAGAACTTTTCTTGCACTAAGGGTTACCAACTCTGATTGGAATACAGTAAGAAGCTTGCCTAGTCTACCTTCCTATCGTAATCCAGAATCAAGAATGGGCCACGAGAATTTGATATCATCAAACATACATTCATTTTATTTCGTTCGTGGCCGTAGACGTAGAGGAGTATCTACGGGTGCCTCTAGAGCGCACAGTTCGTGAATACACAACGGGGAGGCTGAGAGTCAAGATGACCACCAACATTTGTGTGCAGAAGCTGTGGGGTACCGTAAGACTATTTTCAAAAGTTTGAACGGCACAATTCAGTAAGCATCGAGCACAAATGATTACCATTATTGCTTACTCCATATCTGTAAAAAACGTGGGGGCTAGGAGTCAAGTTGGCCCCCGAGATTTGAGTGCAGGAACTACCATGTAGCGGAAGACTATTTTCAAATATTTGACCGGCACAATCCAATATGCATCGAGCACAACTCGTTAAAGTAGTATTGGAATTTGCACGTTAAAAAAACCGGGGGGTTGAGAGTCAAATTGGCCCCCGAGATTTAAACGCAGGAACTATCGTGTACCGTAAAACTATTGTCGAATATTTGAACGGCACAATCCAATATGCAGTGAGCACAATTGATTGACCTTATTTAGATTTCCATATTTGTAAAAAAACGTGGGGGCTGGGAGTCAAGTTGGCCCCCGAGATTTGAGTGCAGGAACTACCCTGAACCGGAAGACTATTTTCGAATATTTGACCGGCACAATCCAATATGCATCGAGCACAACTCGTTAAAGTAGTAATGGAATTTGTACGTTAAAAAAACCGGGGGGCTGGGCGTTAAATTGGCCCCCGCGTTTCAATTAAAAAAAATTGATTTTCCAGATCAGCACAAATTAAAATTGAATCAGCACAATTTAGCACAACCCTAGCACTATATAAAAATGATCATTACACATTTTTTTTTAATTGCAGGTGCAGAAATGACGAACATACGGAAGTACAAATATGACATTTTTTTCGTCATCTACTAATGCCCAGTATTCTCCCTCGACTTTTCATTTCGCACCCTCTCCCTGCCGCGTTTGTTTACAATATACAACCGAGCCAACGGGAACCGTACGGATACGACACGCGGATACTCCGGTCACTATAGCCGTTACGCACTCGTATGATATGGTGTTGATACGATCTAGTGGGCATAGTAGTCCGTATCGTATATTAAATATATATATTAAATATATACATATATAATAAATATTAAAAAATTATGTTCAATCCGCAATTCAGCGGGAAAAGCATGCCTATCTTAACAGTTCTTCATTATTGTCTTGTAATAGTCGGCAGCTGTGGCGAAGACTGCGTAACTTAAATATTGTGCAATCTCGAAAAATGGACTTTCCTTTGCAAATTGGCACAGCGAATGAAATCAATAATTTTATGGTAAATTCTATAGGTAAGTCGTCACCAAATCTAGACGTAATTGGAAACTATATGAGTTGTCGTCATCCACATGTTAAAAAATTACTAGATTTGCATAAAACAACAGAACACGAAGTGTTAGAAATTATAAATTCATTCAAAACCCAAGCATGTGGAGTCGATCAAATAAACATCCTACATTATTAAATATATCACGCACATTATAAACTACTCCTTTGAATTTAATGTATTTCCTACCTTATGGAAGAAGGCAAAGGTAATCCCACTACCCAAAGTTTCTAATCCTACAGCTTTGACTGATCTCCGGCCCATCTCTATTTTGCCAACATTATCGAAAGTGATTGAGAGAATAATATATAAGCAACTATTTGAGCATTTAAACTGCTATAATCTCTTACCAAGACAGCAGTCAGGCTTTAGACCAGAGTATGGCTGCTGTACTGCCCTCTTATCAGTCACTGATGATATTTTTAACGCATTAGATAAGGGTCACGCCACTGCTCTAATACTGCTGGATTACTCCAGGGCTTTCGATATGATAGACCATGACACGTTAATAGCGATCCTACACTACGTTGGTTGTAGTTGTAGTTTGTTACAGTTCTTTGACTCTTACCTAACGAACCGATGTCAGCTTGTGGAGTTGAATGATAACACGTCGGAGGAGATAACAATATCTAGAGGTGTACCGCAAGGAACAATTTTGGGCCCTTTACTATTCAGCGTTTACACAAGTCAATACCTTAAGGACATCAGGGAGGTTAGGGTTCACATGTATGCCGACGATACTCAAATTTATCACTCGTTTAGTATGGCAGAATTGACCACATTGGCCAGTGTCATAAACAATGCTTTAGAATTCATTATTAAGCAGGCTGAATCACACTGCCTAACACTTAATTTGAATAAGTGCAAATTACTGCTTTTTAGCAAGAAAAAAGATCGTCAGTACCTCGCTGACAACCTAAAGATAAAACTAGGAGGAAGAACATTAGAGTGTGTTACTTGTGCCAGGAATTTAGGCATGTTATTGGATTCTGATCTAAGATTTAAGTCGCACGTATCGAAGATTGTAAGTAAATCCTTTTTAGCTCTAAGGCAATTTTATTCTCAGCGCAATGTACTTAATCGACGACTAAAAGTTATGTTGTGTGAATCGTTGGTACTGTCTAACTTTAATTTCTGTGATGTACTTTACGGTCCATGTTTAGATTACTATGACAAGAAGAGAATTCAAAAAATCCAAAATCACTGCCTTCGATTAATATATGGAATTAAAAAATACGATAAAGTCTCACACTTACTTCATCAATGTAACTGGTTAAATATGTCGAACAGAAGAGATCATCACGCCTTGTTACTTTACTTTAAAGTAATCAAATTTAACACCCCACCTTATCTTTCAGAACGCCTATCATACCGTACGGATATTTATAATTTAAACGTAAGGAGGAAATTTTTCCTTCGCCCTCCCAAACATCGCACGTCATTATTCGAGAGATCTTGTAAAATCTAAACAAACGTCGGTACGTAGGTGTAAAATCCAAATCCAGTAAAGCCTATTATAGAGAATATGAAAAGTTGTTTCCATGATGGATGAATAGGAAGTTACGAATAAAGTCTTAAATGCATCGATAATGCTGACACATATGAAGGAAATGTTAAAGGGATTTAAATCTTCTATCTTTTGGTGCATTCATTCAAAACTTCAAACAATGCTGCGATTGAAAAGTGGAACAGATTTGGAAGCATACCCTAAATTACGCGCGTTGGTGAAGGCTTCAACCAAAGGATATGTACAAGCCAAAGAAATGTTCAATCAATCAATCAATCAATCATTTAATCGTTGAATAACAATTATCGATACGTCAATAAATAAATAAATACATACACATAATAACGAAATGTTTAAAACTAGGTGGCTTTGCAGCAGCTTAATGTTTATTTAAAAAATTTATTTTTTCTTCAAACGTCAAAATATTAGGCCATTGTTCGACTGAGTAGTAGGCGCCAAAGTTTGACATTATCGTTAGAGTAGTTTTTACTTTTCCTTTTCCTGTCGCCGGAGGGAAAAGTGTTGTTATGGAAACACAACAATTTCATTTATTTATTCAAAAAATTATGATATATATTCAGACTTATTCATTAATGTAATATTAAATGTACAATTGGTAAGTGTTGCATTCTGAAAATTGAAGCCGTGCAACGATGAACTAGACCCTGTTAAAGTATTTACTACGATGACCTCGGCGAAGACGATGTTATTAGATTTCCTGATGCGAATGTTTCAGTTACCGCAGTTCCGTTTAAATTTAATATTCGGCTAGCATTCTCTTTTTTGTTGCGAATCGACTCTTCTATGTATCCTTCTGCTACGGAAGTCGACCTCCAACCCCCGTGGCGCTTCAACGACTCCATACTTCCTCCACCATCGGTGAGTAATGTAGCCGAAGTACACCTTAAACAGTGACCCGTATATTCTTGGACATTGCCTAATTTTAGAAATTCGGCGACTTTTCTGGGTACAGCACTGATCGTATGGATCCCCATAACATTTTTTTGCACTTCCCATTCTGATATTTCAAAAAAAAACCTTCTCTCTTGCATATCTCTCGGTCTTAATGAAGCGTACTTGTGGTAAATATTCATGAACATTT